CGTGGGAGGGAGGAAGCGGGAGGTTGGGGAGGGGAAACTTCCCTCCCGCGCGACGGGGGAAGGGAGTGCGGGCTGGGGTCGAGCGCCCCCCTCCAACCCTCACTTCTACGGTTTGAAATTGGGTTTGAGGGTTGGACCCTTACTTTTTCTTGCGGGTTTGAGGGTTTAGGGGTTCTAGTCTTTGCGTTTTTTTTTGGTTGCAACCCGTAAAAAAGCAGTTATTTTTGAGAATTTGAGGATTTAGGGGTACTACTAGTAATGCTCTAAGGATTGTAGCTATGGCTTTGCACCGAACAAAGTCCTGGGACTGTAGGACAAAGTAGATGAAATCACTTTCTAGTGGTCCATGTCATGCCTATTATTAAATGAAGGACATGGTTGATCGGAGGATTCCCATTCTCTTTAAATCAAAAACTGTTGCATGATTGCATTTTGCAGCATCTTACGAGTTGTGCACCGAAAAGTGTAGAAACTGGAAACTATACGATCCCTAAATGACCAAATCACTCAGTAACCATTTACAACAAAACCCACCATTTAGTTGGATTCTCCTAAAAACGCCCAATCTGATTTATCTATGATTATGCAACGTAGCCTTCCTTTTTTGCATACAATATGCCCAACTTTACAAGTATATAATTTATCGTCACTCTCTCGGAAAAAATCTGGAACCATAAATATCCAAACGTTTGTGCATGTGCCTCCCCAAAAAATTTGGGGAAAGACAAGGCATACTTGTCACAAATTCATTTCAATGGTCGCATTCACTATATGTAAAGTCATATTAGCTAGATTTAAATCACTTAGAGAACATGATTGGTAAGTGCATGGCTCCGATTTAGAGCCCACAAAACGCCTATTTTAATGGCAGGAGAATGGATAATACATGTGCCAGTAACACTGTCTAAAATGCAGCATCTTCTCCATGAACTCCCATTTTCTAGCTTCCATTGATAACTTAGGGCATCAACGGATCATGCAGTTGCATCGCCAAACATTGGCGCAAGAGTAAGTGAAATAATGCGATGCACGAATGATCAGATGCATGCTTAATGGAAATTAAGGAGCTGGGAAACCACACTCAGACGTCCACAGATTCTTCATGTGGTGATTGAGAATGTACTTTGCTGCACTACTTTGTTGTCTTCAATCTTCGATCTAAGTGCATGCCATTCTTTGTTTCTCGCCAATGTTTACTGCACCATAGCAATAGATGACATACAACTAATTTGGCTAAAACCATCAATGAAAACCTAATCACAATTTTCTGCGGCATGAAGCGGGCATGGTCCTAGTACAGTATCTATTTCTCCTATGTCCTGTTTACTGAGACACATTCGTCTATGAAACAGTATCTATTTCTCCTGTCCTGGTTACTGAGACGCGTTGGACTCTGAAGTTACACTCTTTCTGACAAGATGAAATTTGCCCTGCAGAAAAGGACAGAACAGATCACCACTAAACATCAGCCAGACATACTTGGCAAGAGAAACCGAAGTGGCCAAAAAAATAACAAGAGGATTACCTCTCGAAGGAGATGTGTTACCAGAGACTTATCAGCGGTATTCTTTGAACTGAAGAACAGCTGATTCGCATATTGTATCCTTATATTTGGAATGTTGACTCTTGAGAAGTAATCATGAAGAACAACTCTAGGAGTCCAGATTTCCATACATTTCATGACAAAGACACCGCAATCATTCCTAATAATCAAATAAAGCACAAAAATCAACAAGAAAATTTATTTCACAAATGTCAGCAATGAACATCAAGAAACACATGGTTGTAGATAGCATTACCCGTTTCCTTGTCTTGGCATAGCAGGATAGACAATTCTGAAATTATCGAAGCTATACTCTGGATCAACTATCTCCTTCCACAAATGTTTAAAATTACCAACCTAAATTACAACACATCAGCATTAACATAACTAATCGTTGAAGGTGAACATACTAAAAAACCTACTCCCTCCATCCGAATTAGATAGTCAATTAATTAGGGAGTACGTGAAAAATAGAGGAAGATTTGCAAATAGAATTACTTACAAGCATCTCACTGACGACAACTTGGTAACGAGACTTCTTACGGAACAAGGAATCCATAAATACAAATTGATGGTTTTGCAGGTCGACAACAAATAAAAACCAGTGCTTGCAATGGCATATAGGAAAGAATAGCTGCAACAGAGAAGAATATTTGTAAGAACAAGTTCATATATTACACAAATATAAGAGACGAGAACTAGGAAAGCAATAAGAAAATATCATACCAGTTCACATGCATCAATTTTCTTTACTAGACTTGCACCTTTAAAAGTATTTTGTATGAGTTTAAATTGATCTTTATTATTGTATTTTAGAATGTTTTCCTGCAAAATATATAAGAATCAGCAGCCAAACCATGACAAAACATATTTTGGCATGTATATATGTGGAAACAGATGGAGCTTCAAATGAAGAGAATAATTACCCCAATATAAGAAAAGAAGTAATGTTTTTTAGAAACCGATGGATGGCAATCATCAAACAATTTCCGGCAGAAAACAGAAATCAGAAAGTTATTGACATGACCCCCTGGCATCAATGACTGACCAAGAGAGAGGTAGGAGCAGCGGACTTTGCGATATATAATGGCAGTCATGCTGCTCAAATAAAGATAGAATATAAATGTCAATATGACGCAGCGAAGTATGTCTTTGGCATAATGCAGAATCAGAAGAAAAATAATTGAGCTACAGAAATGGAACAGGAAAGAGCATATATACCACTGATATCTTTCACTCCGTGCAAGTCTGCAAAACGCCGCATAATATCTCCTCTCAAGAGCAGAGACTGGAAATCGATTTGTTTCAGGGACAGAAGGAGGATTGGACGGGAGAAGAACTCTTCTCGGATCATGAGGTGTTTTCTTTCTTCTAGAAGAACTAGTGCTAACCTTGATTACATACTGAACTTTGGATGCGGGGATATAATCGGAAGAGCGATTGTCACGAGGCTTTGCAGAACTGATAATGCTATTAGAAGCACCATCGATATTTTTACACAATTGACTGCAACTCACGTTGATCTTCCTTTCATCTGTAATCTGCACATCTGGAGAATCATTGGACTGCAACAGAAAAATATTAATATGACGGTGTCATGTCATGATCAGCAGAGGGAGAGCAACACAGCTCAGAGATTTTTTTAAGCAAATAAAATGACTTACAAGTTGAGCTTCCGCAGTTGTGTCAGCAGCAGAAACAGGGGAAGTGAAACGTCTGCTCGTAATTATCACACATTTTTTACCGGAGGGATTAGCATTTGATTGCTGAGAGTGATCCAGAGTAACTATGACATTGTGATTCTGCGCAACAGGAAAAAAATTAGATCTCAAGTGGAATGGAAAATGAAACTGACAAACCTAGCTTCTACATAAACTGGAGGTAAACATTCAGACTCATCGGCATTACAGAACTGGAAGAATAGAGTGTGGAGATAATTTTTAATACCAAGACCTAGATAGGTTCATAAAATTGAACCTTGCGGCTAATAAATTATACCGTACAATATAGACTAACCTTGTCAATAATACTCTGGCTGGGCATCACAGAGCAACCTGGATAGAAATCATCCATTTCATGGTGAAGATCAGAAAGAGGTCGGTGTACATTGACATTTTTCTCAGCAAGTTCTTTCAAATTGGCATTGGGAAGGAAGAAATGAGCTTCAGCATCATCATCATCTGGTTGCTGAATGTCAGTGTTGTCCAACACCTTAATTAAGTTAAAGATGTATACACACCAATTATTAGTGTGAGTTGAGTGATACAGGGAATTAACAGTAAAAGCCAAAAGTGTATGTGTACGAGTTTTACCAGGTTTCTGCCATGAAGGAGTAGGTGGGCGAGGAGCTCGTCAGAGTTGGGCGCCGTCCTGAGAGCGACGGCCGCCGCCGCCGCAGCCTGCAGCCTGCCGCATGCGGCGCCCGAAACGGACGTCAGGCGGAGACACTCCATGGGGAAAAGATGTCGGCCCTCTCTCAGTATAGCGATCGCAGATATGCCGGCTAAGCGGCTTGCTAATGAAGGCTGAAGTCCTGCTTGACAGCCATCACATCCTGTTGCCACCATGACAACATTGCATATGCAGGCGGAGCAAGTCTGAACCGGCGAACATGGTTACTGCGGACAAGCGGTGGATCTTCACATAGTGACGACATGGTGTAGTAAGGTAGGCAGGCACATGTTGCAGATTTCTCTCATTGTTTCCATGCACGCACACATAATGACGACATGGAGCTGATGCTATTTCTGCCTCGTTCCGCCTTCCTCCCTTTTCTAACAAGAGTAATGGGTACCTGGTCCAGCTGATAAGATATCGCTTCCTACCAACCGCCAACTTCCCTGCGCTGGTCAACCACCGGAGGACGTCGCGCCCCCGGCGAACCGACTAGAGGCAGCCGAAGGCCGTCGCTGCTCCTCTTCACCGCCGCCCAGCCCGTTCCAGATCCGGGAATGCCGCCGCCGCCCAGCCCGCGACTGTTTAAGAGATCCAGCAGGAAGCGGCGGCGCCATGGGGGCTGCGGGGAGCTCGGTGACCGTCGGTCAAGGGCGGGGAAGGGGAGGAGCGGGGGCGGCGCCATGGAGGAGAGAGGGCGGGGGGCTCGGCGTCCGTCGGTATGTGGAGGAGGCCTGGCGCATGGGGCAAGGGCAATTTGCCGGAAGGATCAACTCGTCAAAGTGAGAGAGGAGACAAAAACTGACAGAGAGAATTTCAGGTTGTTTGTTACTGCTAACTGTTGACATTAGATTGAACACAGTTTTATGTAGACAATAGAAACAAACAACCATTTTTTGGCGAGAAAGCTTCCGATCCATTTATCTTCAATCATGATAGCACAACAAATACCAGAAATAATAAAAATTACATACAAATTAGTAGACCATCTAGCGACGATTATAAGAACTGAAGCGAGCCGAAGGCACGTCCGCAATTGCACCTCCCTCATCGGAGCAGAGCAAAACTTGTTGTAGCAGACAGTCTGAAAGTCGTCGTGCTAAGACCTCATAGGACCAGCGCAGCAGAACAGCAACCACCCCTGAGGATCTAATGTGAAAACACATGAATATAGACAAACTACGACCAAATCCGAGCAAATCCACAACTTGAGGTGAAAGAATAGAAAACATCAACTTGAGCCGTCAGACGGGAGATACACGGCTCAAATTGGTTTTTAAGATTTATTTAGAACTTATGGTGTAAGTTTCAAAACTTATAGGTGTAAGTTTAAAAATTGTTGATGCAAGTTTTGTAACTTACATCTATGTCATCTATATCCAATCTAAGAGCATCTACACCAAGGCACACCAAATCTGGCATCCTATATGTCAGGCGCATTCGTGGACATGACCGGTTAATCCTCAAATTGCCACCTCCAAGGTTGTGTACCTCATACCCGGTACCTAAATCCATACTATGCATGCAATATTTTTCGTGGAAAAGATGATTATCCTCGGCCTCTACATCAAGCGATGCATACAATCATCTTATTAAATTCATACTATGCATGTAACATGAAGGAAACTACGGAGATGATCAATGAAATAAACTAACATGAGTGTAAATTGGCGGGTGCTAGCATCCAGAATGACAAAAAGCAGTGCTCTCATCTGCCTATTAAGTGTGTTGCTCCTCCATCTCCTCCTTAGTACACTGTATTTTACTTTTGGGTGTGTCTAGGGCACATCTAGATGTGCTCTAACTATTGCACATCTAAATGAGTGAATCAAGCATAAAGAAGAAAAAAAAAGAAAAAAAATATTCAAGCGAATCTCGACGTAAGATCAATGACATAGGAGTTAGATGTGCAATACTTATGGCACATCTAGATGTGCTTTAGCAAAACTGTTTACTTTCATAAAATCGGTTATTTAGTCCTGACACGCTGCTAAAATATGCAATGCATCATTTACTCTTTTCGGGTACGCCATGTCATGCATCAAAAAGAGCATTGTATCGTCAACTAAAGAACATAAGCCACACCCCTACCCCAATTAGGAGATGAACAAAGCCTATAAATGTGGTAATCCAATTTAGCTCTCTCGACAAAGTATTACCATCATATCTGCCAGTATGTTACTCCCTCCGTCCCATAATGTAAGACGTTTTTGACACTAATGTAGTGTCAAAAAGCCTCTTACATTATGGGACGGAGGGAGTAAAAAGCAACGGGGACAGGGATCGAATTACCCTGAATATGCCTTTGCAAGTATGGAAAAATTCCCATTGTCCTATTAACTTTCACACCAACACCCCCTCCCTTAAAAAAGGGATATACATGCGTCGTGTTAAGTAAATCCTTTACGGTGGGGCCCGCCAGAGAATATTCAAATTTCATCAAGTTCTTCGAAATCAATTTCAAAGTTTAGTACTTCTTCTTCGGCAGGATTTATTGCGTGTGGGACATAGAATGAAGAGCAAGAATGCAAATTGCCTTGCCTGACGAACCGCTTGATTCAAGTGAATTGCAAGAAACCACCACATTTGGGGCTTCTCTTGCAGAAAACAACCTGGTCACTAATTATTTGCAAAAGCCACCGCAGATTCAGTAAACATTTTGCAGAGTGCACTGAACATGTCAATTGGCGCGGTTGAGGGCATTTCAGACAGGTGGGGCCCAAAATCTATGACGTGGCCTAACGGACGCGCGGACGGCGCCGTTTGCTTAAGACAGACGCGCTCGGGTCGCCAGAGACAGACCGCCCGCACCGGCCCACATATCGCTCTCTCTCTCTGCTCTCACGCTTGCTCTCTCTGCTCCCCACGCTCGCTTGCTCCCCTCCCATTTGCTCTTCTCCTCTCCGGTCGCCGCCGTCCGCTGTCCGCCATGGTGTCCTGGAGCGACAGTGAGAGCACTGAGGGATCCGCCGCGCAGTACATCTCCTCCGACGACTCCCCTCTCAAGGTCAGAACCTTCTATTGCTCATTTGTGTTCTAGGGTTTCTAGGCTACAATTGATGAGCCATCGTTCGAGGGTCTTGCTGACGACTTGAATGTGACTTGTGAGCATGGGAATCCAGGGAGGAAATATGTTGCATTTGAGGGGATAAGCACTAGTAGGAGGTTCATTGCCTGTGCCACTGAAGTAAGTTTCAAGTTGTGTTTGCAGCATTCCAATTCTTGTTCTAGGGTTTGCAGTTACTGTTCATGTTCTAGGGTTCATAGATATTGTTCATGTTCTAGGGTTCATAGATACTGTTCATGTTCTAGGGTTCATAGTTAGTGCTGATGTTCTAGGGTTCATAGTTACTGAACTTAGTTCTAGGGTTCATAGGTACTGTTCTTAGTTGTAGTTTTCATAATTATTCATCATTAAATGAATCTGATTCTGGTACATTAACTGAATCAGCTATTTAACTGAATCTGTAAGTAATGTCTGTAATTTGAACTGATTTTTTCTATTGTAGGGTGTTGCAAATTGTGGATTAGTGCAGTGGGTAGATGAGCATTGGCCAGAGCATCTGCAGAATGCTATTCATAAGCTGTGGCTTATGTATGAGCATAGCTACCATGATAACAAGATGGCATGCCTGGAGCATTCAAGCACTGTACACAATCTCACACAGCAGAAAAAAGAGTTGCAGGAGACATATGAGAAGCTTGTTGAAGATGTGAACAACCTCTTGGATTATAAGGATAGCCAGCCTGAGGTAAACCAGAAGAATGATGCTGAAAACATTTCAGTGAGTGTGGAAAGCAGCATGACAAAGGATGTTGAGATCAAAAAATTGAAGGCTGTTGTTGACCAGTTAAAGCAAATTCATGTAGCTCAAGCCACTGTCATTAGGAATTTGAAGTTCAACCATCTTAAAGAGAAGGAAAAGTTGAGCTCTGATAAGAGGACTTTGGAGATTTGCTATGCTGACCTGAAGAAAGAGAAGGATGACATGAAGAAAGAGAAGGATAAGCTAGATTGTTGCATTGTTGAGCTGATGAAAGTGAAGGAGAAGTTGACCATGGAGAAGAGTACTCTTGCTTCCTGCATTGTTGAGCTCAAGACAGCAGGTGATAGCAACAAGAGGAAGCTTCATCAGATCAAGGCTATTTGTGATGAGGACTAAGTTGTGTTGTTGTCTGACCATGTGTGTCAATGTTGTCTTTTGTAGTAGCTATGGAGGAAAGCTTGTAATGTGTTAAGCTTTATTGTGGTGAACTCTATTATTTCTGTAGCAATGAACCTTGGATTCTATGTTGTTTGTGAGAGTACTCTATTTGTGATGAATTATCAGCTTGGATTAAGTTCAGTTTGTGATGAATTATCAGCTTGGATACATAGATAGTACTGCTGGCATAGATAGAACTGACATAGATAGAACTGGCATACTAGCATACTGCTGTCATACATAGATAGTACCTGCATAGATAGCCTGGCATAGATAGCAAGTTCATACTGCTGGCATACATAGATAGTATCTGCATAGATAGCCTGACATAGATAGAACTGACATAGATAGAACTGACATACTAACATATTGACGAAACTAAACTTTTTCTTCTACTGACGAAACTGAAGACAACATGTCACTCCTCCTTCTTCAGCATCTTCAGGCGTTGGGAGCGCCGCACGTCATTGTTGTTCACTGTCGCCCTCTTCTTCTTGGCCGGCGCTAGCTCCACCACATCTTCACCGCCGCCCTCCTGGTTGTCGGCGAGCTCTTGGTTGATGACGACGAGCTCTTGGTTGTCGGCGACCTCCGGCAGCTTATCCACATTAATTGGGCGGTGGTTTCGACAAGAGAGAGGGGGAAGAGGAGTGGGCGGTGCGGGCGGCGAGTGGGCGAGTGATCGGAGAGAGCGGAGGTGGACACATATTAAAGGCAGAAACCGAAACGACGAGTTATACTAAACGGACGTTCACCACGCTGCCGGCCTCAACGCACTCTCAACATAGTGCGTGCCTAACTAAATATAAGTAAAATTGCGGATGCTACTCAAACAACATCACTAACACTATCCCATTGGTATTGAACCCCTGGTTACTACCCACTGGTCGTGGGTTCGAGCCCAAGGCCAAACTATTTTTGTGCAATTTTTTTTGGATTTCTAAAATTAATATGTCAGTAACTTCTAC